CTTAAGCATGTATCTATGTTATGCAGTATTTTTGAAGCTATCTGCATTTCTCCTCCTATTTAAATCAGGCCTAATGCACACATGAACAGCCATATGGTTAGAAATAACTTAGACAGAGATTGAGGTGTATGCAAAGTAACATATACATAGTTTTTTTTTTCTTTCCCCTCTAAATCTGAGAATCTATGATCACGCTTACAGGGCTGGCGGTGACTGTGTTTACTAAGACACTTACAGTGCTAGCCTGTGAGGTCATCCATGGCAGGGGTAAAGCTCTCCTTCCTTGCCCCCCACCTAACCCGGGGCTGGGCACATGTAAGACTCGCCAGCATGTCTGTCAAGTAATGGCCTCAGCCCTCGGATGATTTTCATTTTTAATCCCATTTAGACATAAAACACTAATTTTGTTCGTATCAAACCAAGAGGAATGAAAGAGAAGCTTCAGACTGAAGTGAATTCACTGAGTGGTCTCCTGTATGTAGCGGGGCAAAAGGGTGAACAGCTTGCGAGGTTACTGCCGTACCTGAATAAGGTGATATTAGATTACCTTAAAAAGGTTTAACAGAACCTTTGAACCTCAAATACAATATATCTCTGGGGGGAAAAACCTTTCTACTTGTACACTACAAAGACAGTGTTGTTTTTCTAGCACAAATGCACTTCTGCTGAAACAGTGACTTGCTCAGCTACTGCTAAGACATGATAACTGACCTTAGGGATGGGTGTGGGGAAGCGGCCAGTAGAAGAGACCACTGTTATGATACCTGGCACCCAAACACCTGCTTTAGAGTGGTCCTCCAAGAAGCTGACTAGTTCTAGGAATAGAGAGAAGAAAAAATACTAAGAGTTATCGGTGTCTTCCTGTTACCTGGTGTGCTGTGTGGCCTAATGACATTTAAGCAATCTGAAATGTACCAGTTCAATCAAAGATTGCTAAAAAAGATCAATCAGTTCTCACTAGAAAGCACAGCTTAAAGTAACAGGATGCACAAAAGAACACCATGTTTTCGAAAGGTACTAAATAGCAGCAAGCCCTGAAGGCCCTAAAACAGAAAAGAAAACTGAGTGAACTATAAGAGCTTACAAAGGTCCCCAAATACAATCACTCACCAGCAAATGTCTAGCAAATCAATTATTGAGAAGCATCATGTGATTCTTAGCAGGCAGGGAGATGCACTTTTCCAAGGAAAGTTCATAATTAAATATATTAAGACTGGATCATCTTCAGGCTATTTTTAATCCCATCATTTTGCTGCCAAAAGTGGCCATAAGCAGCCTACACTTGGTCCCTAGAAAAATGAAGCTTTTTCCTGTATTTTGTACACTGGTATGAGTATGGTATTGCTCTCTGGTTAATCAAACATTTTGGTGGATGTGGATTACTTACAGAAGAGAGAAACTGCCTGCTGACCAGCTAATAAAAAGGAAGCTGACCTCTGCTAGATGTGGGGAAGTCAGTCCCTGTCTTCCTAAACTGCAAAAAGAAAAAGCTGTGCCACCTTCTCACCAGCACAATGAAACCAGTCTCCTGGTTAAGCCATCACATTCCCTCAGGGGTCCACCTCGCACTCTCTTCCTAGACAACGAAGATAAATGCTGTCCCAATGCTCATTTTGAAGAGTGCCATTGATTTTTACTAACCATTCAACTTGCCTGAATCTCAACTCATTGCTTGCAAGAGCCCCTTCACCAGTCTCAGGGCCACTAAACTCCTCCACCGAATTTAAACGGTGTTACATGGTTTAAAATAATAACCAGTGGAGCTATTAAAGGAGCCAAATTTCCTGCCTTTAACTGGAGTAGAAAAGCTACCTTAATTTAATGGGGTCACTAATGCCCATACAAATTGTATAGCTACCATGAAAAGCATCCTTGAGAAGACCGAGTTTATAGTAGTTTATATATTGTCTCTCTTTCAATCCAACCCATTTCTTCCAAGGGTCAGCTTACGCTAATGGACACCTGGGAAAAATCCAGTATTCCAAGTCATACTATGGATCTGTGAGGCCGCCAGAGAGAGACACTGCAGGATCCATCCCAGAGCAGCATCCTTCCTAAAAGATGTCCCCAAGAGTCAATGGTAGATGATAGTAGCCAGCACCCCTAACTTTAATGTGTATATGAACATCTGTAAACTGTATAAACTGCAGATTCTGACTCAGTAGCTCTGGGGTGGGACCTGAGATTCTGCATCTTCAGGAAGCTCCCAGGCGATGCCCGTGCTGCTGGTCTGTGAACCACACTTGGAGCAAGCAGCAGGGTCTTAGACATTTCCTAGAACTGTCTGGCTGCTCCCTCTGTCCTGTGACTCTCTGGATGCACACAATGCTTTATTCAGACTTAGGAATAATGCCACACTCCACTCTATAACTGATTTCTTCTGTAGTCTTTAATTTGTAACCTCTAGGACCATCTCTCAGACACCTCTCATTCCAAGGCCCTGCTTTCTCCAAGTTATGGAACATGGAATACAAAGTTTTCCTCAGCCTCAGAAGGTTCTGGTTTTGCATCAGCAGCAGTGAAGAAAAAAAAGGATTAAAGTCTAAAACCCCCATTAGTACATATGCGGTAGATAAACTGATATGCCGAGTCCTGGAAACAGTGCATGTCAAATGTCAAAAGAATGTGCTAGCTCTCTTTTGAAACTTTACCATTGTTACTAAGAGTACTTTACACCATATTTCTAGAGATGCAAGCCTGATACAAATTTGGAGGAAAATGCCAAATGCCCAAAATAAAAACTGAGAACAATAATGCACATTTGAAAGGATAGGAAAATCATTTATAACTCCCAAATGCTACCACTCATTCCAAAGTGTCCATTTGTGATTGCATTTCTTGATTATACTTCTTTTTTTTGCCAAACTCCTGTTTTCCTATATAGTCATCCATTTATATGTTGCCCTGAAAACTACGTGTTTTAGCATCAGCCGTTTGTGCTTCTGTATGATTTATTTTTACTATAAGGGGATTTGTCAAAAAATTTTTATCATGTATGTCATTGTGGTTTGGCATCATAAAATGTAGCCTCTACATTTATTAACCTCAGATACCTATTGACCACAAAGATAGGCTCTACTACAAACACTCCATTTTGAAGAAGAAAACCTGAGCCTTCACTTAAAAGAAAATTCAGCTGTATGAGATGTTAATACACTACAACTCAGCAACACAGATCTTAATTTCTATCATAAACATACGCTTCTGTTCCCCATCTTTTTATTAAATCACTTTGTAGACAAGTTATTACTTTGGATTTCTTCCAACTAGAAAAAAATTTTTAATATTTTTTTCATAAAAATATTAAATAAGAAAACTGTTAAGTCAGTTTTTACTTTGGTCTTAAAAGGATCATTTTGGAGTCTGGAAATCCCTACCTCTTTGGTGATGGTTAAAAGTAAAACCACCTATTTAACCAAAACAAACATTTAACAAAAATATTCTTTTCAGCCTTTAGTGAATTCTTCCAGAATCACTAAAGATCTGACAACACAGGATCTCAAAAACGAACAAACAAGTCACAAAGAACATTTACATTTTAGAGGTACCAATGGGAATATTTTACTTTTAAACATTGAGCAGTGGTATCAGTATTTTGTCAATGTTGGCAAAGTAGGATTGGCTATTCATGTCAGTCATCTATTTTCTTGGCTTTTTTTCTTTTTGGCCCCTTAATACTAGCACATTTTGTAAACTGTAGTAAAATCTGTAATGTGCTTCTGGAAATCAAATCCACTTGTGGTGATTTCTAGGCTCTTTGCTCCTGGTAGGTCCTATAAAATAATAACTTTAGTAATCCCCCCAGAGTGTCAAAGGAAGCACTGAACTGCATCCTTTTTCAAAGATGATTTTTCAGATTAAAACCAAAAGTCTGAAGAATTTTTCAGATAAAAATTATCCCTTTTACTTTTTCCTAAGTCAGTAATTTTAGATATGTGGTATAGGTCTCAATTTACAAATCTTCAGTGTTAGGATCTGCACCTCCTGCTCCAAAGAATTACACTCACAAAAAGAACTTGAGGGCAACGTGATGGAAGCTCTGCACAGAACCAAAAAAAGTCATCTCACAGATGTGCTTCAAAACCACAGGTTCCGATCACTTCAACTGAAGTCAGTGCATGAGGGAATCCATAGCTAATAATTCATCTAAGCCTTATTATAGATACTGCAGATACAAGTGTTTGTTTTTTTCCAGTGGAAGAGACCACTGAATGATTCTAGGTGGTGCAAAGTAAAAGACACTAAAACTCCAGTGAACTTCAAAATCACACAGCAGCCGTAGAAATAATACACAAAGCACTGCAGCCAGTGGAAATTGTCAGTGATGAGAGAAAGCATCCAGTGCCAGATGTTCCTCTAGACACTCAGCCATGCCCACTGGAACATGGCATACATTGTAGGTTGGAGTCCCTGGACTTTTGAAAAGTTTTCAAACACAGCTAGGTTTTCCAGGGAATAGGGCTACACTGGCCTTCCTCTTTTGGTAGATTTGACCAAATGAGTCACAAAAGGTAGGCCTTTGGTCCTCGGATGGAGTCTGTTCTAATTGGGTGATTCTAGTGCAAAGAAAGCTCAGGGAAGCTTGTTTAAGATGCAGATTGCCCGGACATTTCATGAGTGGTCCCTGAAGACTCCGATTTCAACAAGCTACACAGGCAGAGTAACTGTGATGCTGGGGATCCTTGGACCCCAGCGTGAGAAACGCTTAAGGGATACCATTTATTCCAAGATCCTACTGGGTAGCAAATGCTGGATCTTTAAATCTCAACAGCTGGCAAGCAAGGAGAACACTTTCGGCGGGAAGAAGGAATGATGGATAACAGCTGCGTTGGCAGGGAGAACTTTGCACAAGGGAAGAGGATGCAAAGCACCAAACGCGATTCTATTTCCCTGGCTCACAGGTCTGCCCGTGGCCCAGGAGCCCACCCACACTCCAGCCACCGCCTCTCAGACGTGAGAGGCCCAACTCAGACGCAACATTCAACCAGACATGCACCTACCCAGCCTCCGTTATCCTGGATCCAGGTGTGCAGGTGCCGGTTCAGGTACTCAGTCATCCACAGGGCGATATTGTCCACCAGGGGCGACATCTCCCGGTTGACGCTCTCCACACACATGACCCCACCGAACTCAAAGAAGGCCACAATCCTCCCCCAGTTCACCCCATCCCTGAAGAGCTCTTCCACCACCGTGGCAAAGCGTCCCCTTGCGGTGAAGGGTGTCAGGTGCAGCTGGCTGGACATCTCGGCGAAGTCGCGGCGGTAGCGCCGGGAGAAGTCATCGCCGGCCTGGCGCAGGGTCAGGTGGACCACAGGTGGCACGGGGATGAGCGCAGGCCCCGCAGCGGCGGCGGCGGGGGCGGCCGGGGGCGGCGGGGGCGAGGTCCTGGCGGGCGCAGGGGTGTGTCCGGGCTGCGAGGAGAAGACTCCCGGCGCGGAGGCGGCACCGGGGGGCGCTGCGCCCGCACCTCCGGCTTCCCACTCGTAGCCCCTCTGCGACAGCTTATAGTGTATGTACTTCATCACTATCTCCCGGTTATCATACCCTGTTCTCCCGGCGTGCGCCATCCTTCCCCCGAGGAAAAGCAGCCGGGTACCGAAAGCACCTTTCGCCCCCGCTCCCGCCCCACACCCCGAAAGAAAGAATAGTTATAATCCAGCTATTTTATTGGGTGTGCTTTGCATTCTTGAATGAGGGGGTGTCTTCAGTCACGCGGAACACTTGATTCTGGTGTTACCCTCTTGGCATGAGATGCAGGAAATTTTTTTCCAAATTCCTTTCGGATCTTTATTTCATGAGGCACACTATTAATAATTATTGTTAATATCAGTCTGCTTCTTCCGTGATGCTGAAAGGTTAAAAAAAAAAAAAGGTCAAAATCAGGTGCATTTTCCTCCCTACCCTGGGTGCAAGCAGGACGTATACATAAAATTCACGCGGCTAAAAACAATGTATCAAACTGCCTGGAAATTAAACTTACTGAATGGCAAGTTTAAAAATCGCAAATGTTTCCATTGAAAAGTTACATTAAATCAATTTCCTGTGCTAAGAACTTACTTGTATTTTTTAAGGACAGCATGATCCTCTGTCAAGTTTCCTTTTTTGTGAAAACAAAACAAATGCATAAGGCAAAGATTACATCAATCTTCAGAACTCTCCGGTTATAGCTGCTCTGAAACTTCCCAATGAATCAGGAGTTGGGGGCGCGGGGGGCGTGTAAAAATTAGGAGAATTTCCAGTACGATTCCCAGACTTCGCCTTCACAGAAATGTCAAGCCGTAGGAATCCCAACCGGAGGTCTCAAGAGCACGAGAAAAAAAAGGCAGCGGCGGCGGCAGATGAATTACAATTTTCAGTCCAGTATTTTTGCCCAAGTCCTGTGATTTTCCCCTTCTCGGCAATTTACACACGCACACACGCGCGCGGGCACGGACATGGATCTCTGTCCACGGGACCGCTTCGCGCCTCCACAGCAGAGAGACGGGGGCCGGGGCCGCGGGACGAGCCGCGCGCGGGGGCAGGAATCCTCTTCTGATTAAACTCCGAACGGCAAATGCATTTCCCGAGAAGCTGCTTGATAAATGGGGGCAGGACGCGCCCGGGCCGCCGGTGCCGAGCGCGAGAAGCCCGCGCTGTGTGTGGTGCGGCGAGGGGTGGGGAGAAGGCGGCGGTGGAGGAGGGCTTTATATTTTCCCTCTTTTCCTAAAAAGGATGACTGCTACGAAGTTCTCCCCCCTGGACCCCCTCTTCCGCTGCACCCCACCGGCGCACCCCGCCTCCGGGCTGCGCACCCTTTCTCCTCCTCCTGTTCCTGCGCGGCGGCTCTGCCCGCGGCCGCCCGCCCCGCGCTCCCGCCGCGCACCCGCTCCGGCGATGACGGCCGCGCCGGCGGGGAGGGCCCGGCGCCCGGCACCTTCGCTGGCGGCGGCGGCGGCGGCGGCGGCGGCTCGGCGGGGAGACCGGGAGCGGCGGGCGGGAGCGCGGCGGGCGGGGAGGGGGCGGGGAGGAAGGGGGCGGGCGGGGGGGCCGGCCTCTTACTTCATTCTCTCTAACCGACTGGTTTCCTGTGCGTACGTCACACTGTTCATTCAAAAAAAGAAGAAAGAAAGAGCCCTCCTCGGAGCCGCCCCGCCGCCCCCTCCGGCCCGCGCCCCTTCCCGGGTTAAAGGGGCCGCGGCCAGGCCGGGAGCGGCGCGCCCCGCCGGGAACACATGGCGCCCGGGGCCGCGGCCGGGGAGGGCGAGCCGCACGGCCCCCGCCCGCTCGCCCGCCCGCCCGCGCGCCAGGCCGGCCGGTGGGTGGCGCGGGCGGAGCAGGCCTCCCGCGCGGCCGCGGCGCGCTGGGTGTGCGAGGGGCCTCCTCGGGCCTGCGGCGGCTCGGCGCGCGCTCGGGGCCCGCGAGGGGCCGGGGGCGACAGGGGAGCCCACGCGGCGAGGCCGGCGGCCGCTGGACGAGGGCGCCCAGAAAACGGGCGCTGAAGAAGCGCCGGGGCTCTCTTGGAGCCCTGGTGGCCGAGTGTGTGTGTGTGTCCGTGTCCGTGTGTGTGTGTGTGTGTGTGTGTGTGTGTGTGTGCGCGCGCGCGTACACAGCGTGTTGCCAGCGCTCGGCCTCAGGGGAGAAGAGCGAGGCCGCTGCTGACCCCGAGCTGGGGGACCTCGGCGCTGCCCTCCCTCGGAGCCGGCGGCCCCGCAGTCCCTTAGCGAGGGAAGCCCCAAGCGTCGTGTTTACTTTCCAGTTGCTTCCTAGGTGTCCACACAGAACGCACTCTGGAAACACCATCCGCGGCCAAGGCCAGCGTAGCTCTCAGCGGCCAGGGGAGGGGCGAGTCGGGGCTGTCTAGAGCTTTTAAATGGTTAAGAAAATGTTTTTTCCTCTGCTCCTAACAGCTTCGGCACTGGGTTAGGGATGGACAACTGCGGAGTCTACAGGGCAGCTTTCTGGCCCACAGTCCTAACCCCGGGCTGGGTGGGACCCCACAGGCCTCCAGGGTCGCCTGGCAGCCAATCCTGGATGGCCGCACCTTCTCCAGTTATCCGCACACATGTAACACACAAGCACATCAGCATGAATTTTCCCCCTAGGAGAAAAGCAGAGAGGGCAAGCAAGTCTCATATGTTTATGTTTTTATTTTTAAGAGTCTTTGACAAATGAAGCACGAAGAGAAAAAATGTTTACTAAAAGCACAATTACTTTTAAAAGGACTCAATTACTGTGATTGTAGAAACCTACCAAGTGAGCACTGCAATGTGTACAAATATTCTGACACTGTATTTCGTCTCATTGCTGGTCTAAAATCAAAGCATTTACTTGTTTGTAAGCAAGATAAGCACAGCAAATTATTTTCATTTCTTCATTTATCATACCCAGTCAATGTGACAAACTCTTGCATGTGTGGATGGCTGCCTGGTATAAACTTATCCTAGGAGGAGAGAATGAAGGAAGACGCTGCTTCCTGCCCTCTGATTGCTGCGACGGAGTCCCCTTTCCTCCACGGCAGTGCAGAGGTGTGGTCTGGCCTGGAGATAAGACACTGGGCACCAACTGACCTGGGATATCTGTTCTCATAAAAAGAGTAGAAACCCCTACTTACGCTACAACATTATGGTTTAGGGATCTTCTCAGAACCTGTCATAAACCCCCAAAATTAGTTAAGAGGAATCGAAAGCCTTAGTGCTTCTGAGACCTAGCATGTGAGTGAGGAAATGAGAGGACAGCACTGGAAAAGAGATTGCACTTCCGCAAAGGAGGCAGTCGGAAGGAAACGGATCCCCCATTCCCAGAGAAAGAAACACTTCCTTATTTTCCACCTCCTTTGCTCCTAGAGAGCCTCTCTTCACAGGCTCTCTCAGACTGATTTCTTGTGTGGCATCTGGGCCATACCCAAACATTCTCAGGACAGGTCTATGTTACAGTCCTTGACGAAGTTATGTATTGCCCAGGAGTGTTCTGAATACTCTTTTAGTTGAAAGAGTAAAAACATTCCTCCCATTAGATTCTGTTCATTAGATGCCACCTAAAAGCGTTAGGGCAAGTATTTCTAGGGAGTGTGTGAAATGACCACTTGTCTCTGGGTATTGGTGAGGTAACGGTGGTTGGACCGGCCTGAGTCAGCCCTGGGTTTGAATCCTAGATCTGTGACGGACGCCTTCCAACAACCTTCTAAATGTATGCACTAAGGACTTTTCACTTCCTAAGATGTCATTGGCTTTTAAGAGCCAGTGGACCACCTTTCTGCCAGCTTTTCCTGGGTGGATTCTAGGAGTGGGGGGGCACCAGGAATAGGAAAGAACAAGGTGCAGGGAATGGAGACTGTATCAAGTTTGAAAGGCCTGTGTTTTCCTTATTCTCTGATCTCCCAAACAAAAAGCTTTCTATTGCCAGTTTTCGCCACCTACTGGTTGATGTTTAACATTATAATTCAGGAAGTTGTCTATCCTTCACCAATATAAGTATTTCCAAGGTCTATGAAATTAAAAAAGAACATAATTCTAATCTGGACATGCTAATGTTCAATATAGGCATATATATTAAATTTTCCCAACTATTAAACTTTTTATTTAAAATGAGGAAAGACACCATTAACAGAGAGGGAATTGATAACTATTAGGTAAAATGAAAGAATTAAAAATTTAAAACATGACCCCAAACCATTTAGGCAAACCTAAGTGGAAATAAATCTATAAACCAAACTAACTGACTAGGGAGAGTACAAACCAGAAGTCCATGAAGCTTGCATAAAAGAAAATCGAAATCAGAAACCCACCGGACTAATTTATAGTGGGTCCTGAACCTCAAAAAAAAATGTTTAGAATAACGAAGTAACATTTATAGTGAAGAAACTAGGCAACTAACTATAGATAAGTCATTTTGTTGTGCAAGTTTAACAGTGGGCAAATAATGCTTACTTTTAGTTTACAAAGACAAGCGCAGGGAATTGACTCCTGGCAACTTTTCCTTTCAAATTAATGACTTGGTGTTCAAAGTGAAATAAACTAAGTATAGGAACTTGCTTACACTTTTCAACTGTCTACTGCTCTCACTGCATTGAAACTGCAGTGATAGAACCAAACAATATCACACAACACTGAGGGGGAATGGGCAAAGAATTTACATTCTTATGTGCAATTATTTTTATTCTCTTATACTCTTTAGCACAGAGCACAGCATCTCCCAGACATGAATGCTCATGAACACACTTAGAAAAATCAGTGTTACTGTGTTTGTTTCCTAGGGCTGCAGTAACAAAGTAACATTAACTATAGTGCTTAAATTTACTCTGCCACAATCCTGGAGGCTGAAGTCCAAAATCAAGGTGTCAGCAGCGCCATGCTCCCTCTTGAAAGCTCTAGGGAAAAACCTTCCCCTCCCTCTCCCTGGCTTGTGGTGGTAGCTGGCAATCGTGGCATTCCTTGGCTTGCAGCTGCATCAGTCTGATCTCTGCCTCTGTTGTCACATGGTATTCTCCCTGTGTCTCTGTTTCCTCCTAATCTTATAAAGTCACTGGTCATAATGGCTTAGGACCCTAATAACCTCATCTAAACTTGGCAAATCTGTCAAAGACCTTATTTCCAAAGATCATAGTCACCAGTACTGCAGGAGAGACGTCAGCCTCTTTTGAGGGCAGACAACTCAACCCATAACAATATTTTTCTAACATGGTATCTTGCCTCTAGTAAAAGTTGTTTCCTCCACAGCCCAAGGGCTCTCAGCAAACCCTGAATTTCAAGGGGAACCATATTTCTAAAGCTAAAATGTGGCCATTTTATGTTTGTGCTTAAAGTTCTTCAGAAGCTAAAATCCCAAATCCTCTGTATGGAATGATGTGGCCCAATCTTACCACCTGGGTGCCTGTTTCCCCTTTTCCCTCTTGCAGCTATACTAATTTAGTGTGTTTTCCAGAATACACCAAGATCTCTCACGTCTTTTGCCTTTGCAAATCTGCTCACCTCTCTAAAATGTACCCAATCTTCTCATGGCAAATTCATATTCATTCCCCAAATTTAATCTCAAGAACTTGCACCTCTGTGAGACCATACCTGACTTTCCTGGGCAGCCCAAGGGTTCCACTTGTGCCCCAAGGTTTAGCACAGACTTAAAAGTCAGAAAATGGGTTTTAATCCTGGCTCCATCACTTAGTAGCTATGACCTTGGACTCATCACTTAACTTCCCATGCCCGTGCCCAGGTGCATAACATGGGGCTATAGAGTAGTGATCACAAGGTTTTAGTGTATGATTTAAATGTGTCAAACATAAAGCCTCATGACTGACTGGCATGGGTTACATTTTCAATGTTAGTTATTATAGCTAGTTGGATCCACAGTGTAATTTTTGGCCTATGTTTCTCTCTAGATTATAAACTATTTGAGGGCAAGGACCATGTTTTTCTTCTGGGACCACTATTTCCCAGCCTAGAATAGTGCCTGACATTCAAATATTTGTGGCATAAAATTCAGGCTGAAGAAAGGGATGGTGAGTGGCTCCTCTTTGTCCAGGAAGACGTCTAGGAGCCTTCAGAGGGATGAAGGAAGCAGGACGAAAAGAAACAAAAAATGTAATCTCTACATGGGTGGGACAAATTGCACAGTTTTATCCCCAGGGCCTGGGCACCAAGCTCCATCATAAGTACTCAATAAATACGCTGAATGAGGGAAAATAGATAGTATAACTTCAGGACTGGAAGAATGTCAGGAAATTTTTTCTTTTTAAATATCCAAATATAAAAATTATAGTAGTAATATCATTTATCATTTATGTATACAAATTGCACACATTTAAAGAAAGGACCAAAGTATATCTTCTTGATGTGACCCAAATATTCTTATTTTGAGAAATATTAAGGCATGCTCTTTTACATATCAGTCTTTTATGCCCTTCAGAGTCAAAGATTTATTTCATTAATAGACTGTAAAGTTTTAAAGTACAGGAAATCTATTTGTATATGAAACATAATTTAAGAAATTTTACTCAATGCCACATTTCCTACCCTTTTATTCATATATCCCACATCAGAGTCACACAAACACACAACACATTTGAGACAAGAGCCGAGTACAGCAAGTACTTACTCTGAAATACCTCTTCCTAGAAAATGATAAAAGTCAAGCGATTAGGATAACATTATGGGAGAGATTTATGTGTGCATGTCTCTTTAAAAAAACACAAATTTCTAGAAAAATACGTTTCAAATCTGTAAGGCTTATTCCCCATTTATTTTTTGTTGTGGTTCAGAAATACAAGATATGAAAATTAGGTTACAGTTCTGCCACAAAAGCTTCTAAAGTAGCAAACACAAGACCTAATATATATCAAAATAGCCAGGTGCATTCTGGTTTAAAAATGCCTTTAGAGTCATCAGATAAAGCAAGTGTAAAATATAATAGCTATTATCTCCTCTTCAAAATATCAAATCTGCCATCACTGCACTGAACAAGTTTAATCCAGAATATGGACGTTTACAGTTAATACATACATTTTAAAGCTGAGTTACTATGAACTAAAGGAAAAAAGATACAAAGCATCTTATGTCAAAAAGTATGATTATCTAAGTGTCCTGACATAAGACATGTTTAAATTAGAACATGACGTAATAAAATTACATGTTGATGATAACTCAAGCAAAAGAAAATTATTATGGTATTGCCTTCCAGAAAGACAAAGACATACAATTCTTTGAATTGAAGCAACTATTACCCAAAATGCTTCTGTCATCTAAATATTAGAAACAGTCTCTCAATATTTCACTTCCAAGAATGAGCAATGTATGGTTTTACAGATCCGAACAAAGACTTGTAACTAAACATGTCTAAGTATTCATGTAGAGGCCATCACTAACAGTATTTTTGTAATTTCTTCTCTTTTCAGCCATGAAAATATCATTTTTAAAAACGTAGAAATGAGCGATTCCCTTGACTTTGTTTTCATAAAAAGAAATGAGGATGGTTTTTTACACCTTTTTCAATTATGAAAGGTCACTGAACCTGTTTTGGAATTTCTATGGCTGAAGGACGTTAAACATTTTTAAATAAAACTCCCTCACAATTACATGGTAAGACAGTACAGCAAACCCAGCACAGACAACTCACAAATAAGCTGTTGTTGGACACACACAGTGATTTATAATTAACTCCTTCTGCCACAGGTAAGTCTAACCCATTTCTGGGTACAGTAGAATATGTTGAATCAGTGCAATCCTTTAAAAAAAAAAAAAAAAAGCCAATAGTTTCCTTAATCTGATTCAGGGCATTTTTTATCTTCCCCGAGCAAAAAAACAAGTCAATGTAAAAAAAAGTTGTACAGGAATTGAGCCAAAAAAGATAAAAAACAGAATTTGCTTTGTAGTACTTTCAGGATTTGGATGAAGTCAGATCTTTGTGTGGCGCTGCTACAATGTCTATAATTCTTTATCCAAAACCCTGGGAGCCAGATGTCTCAGAGTTCATCATTTTTTTGGATTTTGAAAAAGGTGATATGGGATATATACTGGATAGGACAAAACATCTCCACAGTATCTGGGGCGATACCTACAACCAGTGGCAATTCAGGCACAATTAATACAGTCCACGTAGTGGCGTAAATAAAACACAACAGTCTCACATCAGTTCAAGTCAGGTTTTGCTATCCAATGAATTATGGCACCAAATTTAGAAAGAAAAAAGAAAACACCTAAGTTTTCAAAACTTTTTGGACACAGACTGTGGACTTTTGACATCTTGGACAAGAAGCCTGACATTATGATCTCCACAAATCTGCTCTTATGCCTGCACTTCAGCTGGGCTGCGGGCAGTATCTCCCGCCACAGAACAGGGGCTCTTAAATCTGAAGACAGTAGACAGTAGATTACCTTGGGGTGGCAGTACTGTCCACACCGATATCTTGAGAAATGTATACTGAAATAACTATTGTTGGCTAATTTTATTAGATGAGATAGCATCTCGGGCTAGATTTTCACATAGACCAGTAGAAAGTGCCAAGATTCAAGAAACATTTATGAGAAAAGAGTAAAACTGAGAAACATCAGACATGAATATAACTGCTTTCTGTGAACAGGAAAATAAAGCCATTGCTGCATTTTAGAGGCTGCTCAGTATGACTTAACATAGTTTGCAAACGAGAGTTACATGAGACTGAAAAATTCATGAAACCATTATGGTATCAACCCACCCCTACAAACTGCAGTGATGTCGTTCTGAGCAACTTACATGTTAAATAATAATTTCTTCTCTGTTGGTGTTTAAAATATGCCACTCTCAGATCTTCATAAAAAAGACACTGGAATGAAGCCATTAAACATCTTACATTAAAAAAATTAAGTCATTTTGAAGTCAAGAGGTTCAGAAACGTGAGCAAAAAAAGGTAATTTTCAGTCTTTAATCTTTTGTATGTATAGTATGTGAGTACTGTGTGTGTGCAAGAAGGAAGGGACATAGCATCACAATGATGGTGACTGTCCTGAAGTCAGAGCAGCATATACAATGACAGGACGAAGCAGGTGACATTGGCTAAGATTCGTCAGAGGCACTTACTGTGGAAATCCACTAACTGAGCAACAGGGCCTGGAATCTGGAAACAACATTCACAGGGCCAAGAGGATTCCCAGGGATGACAACGGGGCTTCCTGAAACACGTGGCACCGAGACAATGTTCTCAGGGTCAGTCAGAGAGTCCCGGGAAGAACAGGGCCATCGTGTTGTTTAAAAAATGAGTATCTTCAAAATCGGCCTTGTCCTACTTTGTTTCTTAATGAGTACAATTTAAACATCCCACCATTGAGCCTTTCTTAAAAGCTACATATATGCTATGAGGAAAAGAATGTCACGCTTCTGAGTTTTGTCGTTTAACTAATTCATGAACTGATTTTAAAGGTCAAGCCAAAAAATTTTACAAAAATATTACAGCAGTTTAAGCAAAACTGGAGAGGAAGAGGTGCGAGGATGAGAAGACGCTGCGATGGGTGAGCTGCGGGTCATCATGGCTACGGAGGAAACCGTAAACTTGGAAGCATCTAAGATTTTATTTCTCTTCAGAAAACATTTTAGGAGGCTGCCTTTCCCCACGAATGAGAAATGAAAAATGCCCTAAGCATTCGAGTCTAAAGAAGACAAGAAAGCAGTATTTTTCCTACTGGAAAATATTTATCTCCTTCGCTTACACGGCACTGCCCTCTCCCATCCCCCTTGCAGTTTATCGGGATCAAACAGAGAGAAGCCGTGAGTGTCCGATGGCAGCACAACGAGTCAGGGACCTCGTGATGCGCTCAGACTCCCCAGCAATGTATAAAATTCATCTGGAATAAAATACACCAAGTTAAAAAGAGAAAAAAAAGAAAAAGGCCCCAGAAACCCATCAACTGCCTGCCTTTCATGGAAGGTTTAAAAAGTCCACAAGATCTCTTATGTGTCATAAAGTACATTTCTGCATATGATCTTGATGGGGGGTTGGGGGGGGAGAATAAATAGAAAAACTTTAAATGATCACTCTGGAATTCTGTTCTTTACCCTGCTTACATACTACAAGGTCCCACACCGTCATCGCCTCTCCGCCTGAGAGGATCAAATGATCCCCTATTCTGTATTTGCATAGTATTAATAATATGGTCTGTGGCTGAGCTTCCATCCCCTCCACTGCGGCCAGGGTTCTGAAGAGCACTGTCCGATCACACATTCAAAAGCAATACGTAAGTGTCTATAGGTCAAAAACTAGGTCCCATTTAGCAGCAAGCTGTTCAGATTATTTAGAAACAGTCTTTTTCCAAGGGGTAAGAATTAGGCAGTTTTGCCTGCAGTTTCAGATCTTGCTCTCTGCATCATGCAGCGACGAACTATGCTGTCGAAACTTCCAAGGTAAAATAAAGCGATTGTGCGGAAGAGGCCCATGGTGACCACCTGCAAGGTAAAGACAGACCATGAGCCTACCCAACAGGACAATATAAGAGCTCATGTCAAGCAATTGTAGAGTATGTCTCTAATAATAGTTTCTAAGACATATCTTCTAATCCGCTCCAAGGACAAGCGTAATGAAAACTTGGTAAGAATCAGAACGCCATGAACAGGAGCTGTCTACTCAGCACCACTGGGAACACGTGCCGCCCGACAGGCAACAACACAGGATGTGTCCAATTAATACATTCAAATCATACGAAGAACATAAAGGGGATTCTTAGTAGTCTTAGGTTATAATAGGAAGATCCACTCCAGCATCCCAAAATCTAAACTACAATCAGGCTTTTGGTTTAAGATTTATGTTCTGATCACAAAAGTCAGGCCCTCTGGCACGTGCTGAGAATACCTTGGCGAGAAAGGGTGCCTGCCCTTTTCGAGCTTATTTGATCTGGAAAGATAATTAGCTGAAGGAAGGCAATGTCTGTTTCAGAGTTAAGACAGCAAATGACCATGTTCATTAACCTTCACTCTTTCCACTAAGAGGCTCATACTACAGCACCTCTAGATGGAATTTTTTAAAGGCATAAAACTACAAATAGAAACATTTTCTAATATGCAAGATCTCTAAAAATTTGCTTCCCATGCACCCTTTTTTATAGAAAGCTACTAAAAGAGGTGACATGTGAGAGGTCAAGAAAGACAGTGTCATATGACAAGAGACAGGGGACCCAATCCAAGAGAGGCAGAGGGGTCCCCTAGGAGGACCATGACGGGGAGGCTGGGGATCAGCTGTGCACAGACATGGGGGCAGCCAGCCCTGATGCACAGCTCAGAAGGTTCCAGGAGGTGAAACTGATAGAGTATCTGATGTTTCTGAGAGGAGATGAAGATGGTCATTATTAATAACATATAGAAAAAGGCCAATAATAATTTCAGGGAAAACAAAAGTTTATGTAAGAAAGGAAAATTAATTATGTGTTAATACATACCTCAGCTGTGAATAGCATTTAAATAGCCATAATAATCATCATCTCAAATACAGGTCTAACCCAAATTCCAATGCAACTAAAGGGGAGGGTAGGATGGAGCCCAGGTGGGTTAAGCAGGACGAGGAAGGCCCGAAGACCACGGAGCCCTCATCTTTCCCAGTAGAAGGCAATACCTGGTCCCTAGCTGAGCAACACAGGGAAGTGGCCACAGAGTCCATACAGCAGAGACGGAAGCAGGTGTCAGAAGGTCCAGCTAAAGGGTAGCATGTGATTGTGACCTGGGGGTTGTGTAGCAGGGACCACTACTTCCATAACACGCCTTGAAAATGATTTGATTCTCTGAAGTGTATGCAGGAATAACTTTGGAAGGTGTAAAAGCCATAGGGAAGCAAAAAAAGGCAGCACTATGCAGACAGCAAAAAGATCAGAGGTTGCCAGGGGTTCAGAGAGAGGGAGGGAGAGATGAACAGGTGGCACACAGGTGACTTTTAGGACTGGGAAGCCATTGTGCCTGACACTGCAGTGGTGGGTTCGTGCCATTATACACCTGTCCAAACCTGTAGGATGGATGTGCAACACCAGGAGTGAACCCGATGTAACCACGGACTTCGGTTACTAATAAGTCACGTCTCGATAGTGGTTCATCCACAGCGACACGTCTCACAGCAATGCAAGGTGCTGCTAATAGAGGAAACTGGTGGGAGGCGACAGAGGGCACATGTCAACTCTGTAATTCCCACTCCAATCTTTTATAAAACTTAAACTACTCTGCAAAATGAAGTCTATTGTTAAAATAAAAAAATGAAAGGCAAGAAAAAGCCTCAAGAAAAAGCATAATCAAGTGTAAAAATTGGGGTTAAGTCCAAGGTATTCAACCAAGTCTTGAAGTTTTCTGGATAAAAACAGTGTTTACAGTGAGATCTGAAGGAAGATTAGAAGTTGGTGAGACAAAGGGAAGCAGGGGAGGGAGGGACAGACAAAGCAGGAGAGGCCAGGAGGGTGAGCGGGGTCAGAGGTCAGGGGCTGTGCCACAACGGGCAGGAAGCTTTACCTCCAGGGTGCGGAGAGCCCGTGAACGTGAACGCTGCTATGCAAGGTGACTGGCAGTTTAGGAAAACCACTGAGAACACGTGATGGCATGCTCCAATATGCCCGGCCGGCACAGGCTGCTGGCAGTCCACCAGGACTAGGGGACCATGGCCTTGGAATTGGAGCAGCTGCCACTCATCCCAGCTGTTGACTGCCAGGTGAGAAAGCAGACCCTGGGCTGGCAGGCCTTCCGATTGATTGACAGTCCAAAATCTGGACTTTCTATGTAAAATCTAATTCTAAAGCTATTTTATTTCACCATGCACGCTCATTCCAGATGGACCAGCCAAAATGTTTTATAGGACCCTGGGCCCTCAATTTACCACCTCGGCTGGCAGAGCAGCGGCTCAGGCAAGGAGCCATGGGACTGCAGGGTCCCAGGCTGAACGGCGGTGAGGGCAGCAGGGCAGAGAAGTCAGCGGGCCTGGAAGGAGAGAGCATGGGGCTGGCCCCTGACATGAGGGGCAGGAGAAGGGAGTCAGGGACGACACCCCACCTTCCAGCGGGGCTCTGGGGTGGCCACCAACACGCTCACAGAATCAGTGACAGGAGGTGGGGGACAGGATGCTGGGGAAACACAACATTTTTTGCGGGCGAGCTCAACTGGAGACGCAAAGTCACAGCCCAGGGAGAATGTGTAAAGGATGTAAGTGGAACTGGAGTTAAGGAGAGTCACAGGCTGAAGCTGTAGACTGAGCACCCGTCACAGAAAGAAGAAGGGACGAGCGGCCTGAGGAGACCATGCAGAATCACGCGTCTGTCCCACTTGGGCGACCTGGAGTCCCCAGGACGTGCAGGCACAGGCCACCCAGTGGCAGTGTAGGCAGAGGTGTGGACCCGTCCTCAGAGCTCACACATAACCCAGTGTTGGCCTCGAGAAGCACAGAACTGCGGTCTGTTACGGAGAGAGGACAGGGGAAGCCACAGCGGGACATCCGGGCTGTGTCTGGACACTGCCCACTGCATGTGACTGCCCACCTTGGCACGAGCCGTCCTCCTCAGGCAGCCCCCTCCCTCTCCCTGCCTGCCGTCCGCCCTCCATCACCCACTGAGGGTCTCTCGGAGCAATCCCTCTATTCGAACTTGCATTATATGATGTGGTACCACAGCACCTTTCTCATCAGTCTCACTCACCTACCAGGCAGGTTGCCTCACCGGGTTCCCCAGCAGCAAACACAACATGACAATATCAAGGAGCAGTTAACTTCTGTGTCCTGGATGAACTATAATTTTCCTAAGGGTGGGGATTGTGTCGGCTTTTATCTCCCTGAGCTTACTTACCTGTGACCGGGCTCACCTATAAGAGGTGAGTTCTCAGTGACTCTCAGATGAGAACCCACATTAACACCCCAGCAGCAGAGACAGCGTTTCATCTCTGTGCTCACAGCACGCAGCAGAAAGCTTCTTCAAACTCGAAATTCCTCACGTTACATCTTTAACCTATTTGCTTATCCCTGACTAGAAGAAGAGAAAAAGTTACACTTCTGTAAGAATTCCTCCCATCTCGGACGAAGTTACTAAATCTTCGCTTAGCCTTTTCTCATCCAGGTTTGATGAGAAGCACTGTCTGTCAGCCCCGCGGTCTGAGGGCCTGGGCATCACTCACCTGCTGCAGCCCTTCAGTGATAGAAGTTACAGGAGCCATTCCGCACGTCAGGGAGGAGAGCATGTACCCATCAGAGCCGATGGAACTGTTAAAATTCCCTTGCTGACATAGAAGGAAGAGAAAAGAGGCAACAGTAAACACACGGGACGGAACTGGGTCAGTACATCAGAAACAATGAAGGGTGTCGTGCGCACACACCGGGGCTCATGAATGAACGTGGCCTTGGCAGATGGGCTGGAAGGGCTAGACGGGCGGCCCTCGGCATGGGCTCTGCTTGTCCTGAACCCGTCAGCCCGTCTGTGAGGACAAAACCACCACCATAATGACACTAAGACGTTAAATAGCCTTTTTCGCTGAATGACACCTGCCCTCACAGGCAAAGCGGCTGGCTCATTAGCACAAACCACAGTAAGGACACCTCTCCACGTGGAGTAATTCATAAATACATCAGGAAAACAGAAATTTTAAAAACATTTTTAAAAATTGTAAAATGTTGGAGTTACTTTAAAATACCCTTGATAAAGCAAGTAAAATCCATCATCTTACTAAAGCTCAACCCTTCAGGGCAGGTCTGTCTCCTCACTGGTCTGTGTGACTGAAAGAGAAGAACACACTCAGCATTTTTCTGCTGTGCACGGTACCGAGGGGGACAGCCGCTCTGAAGAGAAGCCCACCGCCAACTGTTTAAGTCATGAAACCTCCTGCTTTTTTCAGGAAACACCATTTTTACACGAAAGAACCATGGACAGACAATAGGTTTTCAGACTCGGGTATCTGGAAGCTATGTTGTGGAAAATGAATATGAAATGAGCTTGTCACTTCACAGAAGATTGGCAGCTCTTATGGTCAATGTTAAAATCTGAGCTTTCAAGGAAAAATTCAAATTTGTGGAAACTTCTATCTGCCTTTGTGCAACTGTCAGCTTCCCAATATGTAAAGGCTTTTAGAAGATCAGCAGTAATATTAGGGGAGCCCATATTTTCCAAATGACTGATGCATAATATTACAAAATCATGAATGGGTGCAAAACATTCAAAGTGCAAAGACCAATGAATTTTAATCTAACAGAACAAAAAGTTCACTAATGTAGTTTCCAATTCCATACTGCAACTAACCTTTAAGAAACTATTATTCCTCTAGTTTGGGTTTAATATCAAAAAAGAATGTCTACAATTATTTGAAGAGCCTATCTATGTAAGGCCAGATTTTCTTTATATCCTTCATTCCAAACAACATATTACAATAGTCTGAACACAGAAGCAGCTATGAGAAACAAGCTGACGTCTATTAACACATACATTAAGGGGTTGGTAAACTGTAAAACAATGCCACTCTTCCCACTAAAGCTTTGTTTTGAAAAACAACTGTAAAAATATTACATTAAAATATGATGGGTTTATTATTATTTTAAATGAAATAATAAATATTTTTAAAATTATATAATTTCAAATTCTAATATAGCAAGTATCAATAAATGTAATCCATGTAAACAAAAAACTCTGGGATTGTCGATGATTTAGAGTATAAAGTGGTCAAGAGATGAAGATGTTTAAAAAGCCATCAGACTAAATGAATCCTGCCCAAGCACGATGAGCGATTTCAGATCATTAAAAAGACTGGATTTGCTTTGACTTGAGAAGAGCAGGAAAAATACTCTACTCTTCACACTGGTGCCATCTTTCTATGCCTTTGAACCCAGGGCAAAGTTCTTCCACGCCTATACACGTTTTAACAGAGTTCAGTGTTTCCTGTATTCTGCTCAGTTTGGCTGCTGCACAGCATGCTGCCACCTCTCATGCCAGTGGTCCCCAAATTTCCTCAACTCAAGGTGGGCCTACAGCTTACAGACCTCCCTCATAAATGTGTATTTTCCTGCATGTGGGTTAACAGGAATGTTGTCAAGAGCTTGCAGCACATATGTTAGTCTACAAAATAGCACATGGTTCCAAAGACACCATTTTTGACTCCAAATAAACTCAGCAGCCCTGAAGCACTTTTTGCTGGGTTGACAGGATAATGGCCCAGCGGTATGGTGGCACTTTCGTATTAGTAAACATTTGGGAAAACAATACTGGGGTAGAAGCAGGATGGTAGGGGGAAAAATTCCTTCATCAGTGAGTCTAGCAAATAGGTACCTAAAATATTCTAAAACTGAAAGTACTGTGGAGAAGAAGAAAGAAGGCAACATTCCGTAGAGAGGACAGAGTATATACTATTTACACATCACAGGTAAGTCTTGTTTTCTTTTTAAAGAACCAAAATTCCCAGACATCCTTACTGACCAATCTGTTCCTGAGTTTAAGATATATACGGTTGCCCCTGGACAACATGGGGCTTTGGGGTGCCAACCTCCACATAGTCGAAAACCCTTAACTTTTGACTTCCCAAAAACTGAACTACTAATAGCCTACAGTTGATGGGAAGCTGTACAAACACATTTTGTGTGTTATATGTATTATATATTGTATTCTTACAAAAAAAGTAAGCTTACACTAAGTAAGCTTGAGAAAATGAAATGTTTTTTCAAACTGTTGCAAATCTCCAAAGAAATCTTCCAATATTTTTACTGAAGAAAATCTGCAAAAATGTGTGGACCCATGCAATTCCAATCTGGGTTGTTCAAAGGTCAACTGTAATTAGTTTTCGGGAGCCTACTAATTAACATGGAATCAATAAACTGTCTACGGGAAGAAAAATAGAGTCCAGTATTAGATAATATCAATATAATGGACCAAGAAAATACAATAACTTATGTTTTGAAATAAGCCCTGGTATAAATATCTTTTTAGACATACAGTATGACAACTATTAATAAGGTTAAAAAAAAGATTTTACTTACTATGGCATCTTTAACAATTTGTTTGGCCACTTGCTCTGGTTTGCAAACAGATGTGGTCTCTGAAATAAGACGAGTCTCCAGAGGCTAAAGGTGAAGAAAATAGATATACCAATACCGTTATTGCCCATTAAATCAAAAAAATAAATAATTCTTATAGCCCCTCCTCCCTCAGTTTATAAATAATTCATTTTCTATCTTTGAGAAGATTTCTGTCTTTAGAATTAGGTCCGTCTGGGTTCCAAATAGCATCTGTCTAGTTAGTATATACAGTTCAGCCCAGTAGCTGAAGCAAGGCAATGAGGCCCTGCACCCTCTGTGGGACATGTGTGGCGGGCGTGGCTCCAGCGTGGGCTACCAAAGCTAAAACAGCACATCACAGAAAAACCCCATCTTTGAATTCTCACTGCTGGTCAAACACTTGATCGACAGCACGCAGAGCCCAGACCCTGTGTTGTGGGCAAGTCTGCTCCTCTGACCAGAGTCTCTGTTCTGGCCATTGTGACCATCCTCCCACGCCAGCTGAGGGCCTGTGGGCTGCAGAGAGCTGAGACCCGGGGCAGGGTCAGCCCCAGCCCAGTCCCAGCCCAGCCCCCGCCCAGCCCCCATTCAACAGCAAAAGTAGTTTCTTAAAGGACCTGCAGGGAGTCAAGTGAAGGGAACACGGGTGGTCCCTGGCACGGCTGTGTGCTCTTTACTAGGTGCCAGATCCCCAAATCTTAGCCTCGTGTTCTTCAAACATGGTTAAAGACCCATCTCGATTGCCACCTAGTTCAAACCATCTTTCCTGAATTCTTAACTGGCAGTCATTTCTCGTCTTGTCTTTGAACATTTCTGCCTTAATATGTATTATAACTACATGTGTAGGTGCATTTTTACCTCCTAAGTTCCTTGCGGGCAGGGTTTTTTTTTGCTTGTTTTTTAATCTTTGTGGTGACATGCACAGATGTGCTCAAAAATTCTTTAAAAGGGAGTTTCAATTAGAAGTTCCAAAACTAAAGACTCAAAACTGCACAAAATTGTAAATTTTACCATGTAGCTCAAAAAAATAAAAATAAAAACCAGACTGTATTTTCTTAAAATAGAAAAGCACAGCACTTCAAAAAGTCAGGTATTTTGTGATGAACCCGAATTAAGAGAAGGGCTCTTTCTCTTTCTTTCTAAAGGTGCCACCCTTCATTCTCCAAGCCTCCGGGCGGGCCTAACCGCGAGGACCAGATGCACATTAGATTTAAAAGCACTATGGCGCCCCCTACAGGGCCCACCCACCAAGGTAGAATTTTATTTACCCAAAGTCCACCCAATGTTTTAATGGAGGGGGAAAAAGAACTTCACATCAAAATCAGATCTTCACAGGGAAATCATCACCCTTTGTCAGCTTTGGCTTCGAATTAAAGGACTGCTCACTACATGTCGCAAATCTGCTTAGCACTTCCCTGCTTATTCTAAGACAGGGCACTTGGCTTAAATCTACTTCTTTGAAATAGTAGCAATTTTAAAAGGCAGAACAAAAGAGAAATGAACAGGGAAGAAAGTATGATCTAAATTTTATGATCTACATCATAAACATCTTTTTGCAAATATACAGTCTCCGGAGATAAGTGCCAATTTTTATGCTGTGGACATTCACACTTACTAAGTAAGCATCACTATAAAAGAGAAGAAAACCAATTAGTGCCAGTTCAAGGGGATAAATTCTGATTGGCTTCTTTCTTCTCCACCTTGTTTGCTCAGAGAGTGTCCATAATGTGTCAAGACAAAAGAGGAGATTCCTTTGAAAGACGTGCACGATTTAAATGTTTAAATGCAGCTCAGGGTGACTCAAAGTCACTGTATACAATTCCCTGTCCAGGGGAGATAAGCACTATGGAGAGAAATAAAGCCAGGGAGGAGCCCAGTGCACGTCCCAGGGGAGCGACGTTTGAGACACAGGAAGTCAGGGAAGTCTTCCCTGAGGTAATGTCTATGCAGAGATGGACAGAAGCGAGGGAGGAGCAAGCCACTGGACTATCCAGAGAGAGGACGGCGAGAGCAAAGCCCAAGGTACAGACAGGGCTTGGGTGTGGCCGAGAGCAGGGGGAGAAAACGCTTGTGGGTCTGGCCGGGGCCCAGACGGTGAGGAGCACGGCAGTCGCCCTCCAATGCAGAGCCAATGCCAACACAAACGCTAATTCTAACAAGTTAACTAATATGAAATAAAACAAAAAATTCAGTTTTTTGAAAGAAACTCAATTTTCTGACTGATGAAAATGATGGCAGGCTGAAGGGTGGGAAGACAGAAAATCAGAAAGAGGTTGAATGTTAAAGACAACGGGATGTGGGGAATGCTTACCTTTGTTTTGTTTTCTTCTGCAAACCCAGGGGTGTCTGTGTCTGGTGGGTAGGCAACTGTGACATAGACGTTATACGGCTTCACCTGCATTTCAGAAACAACAGTTAACTCTTCAGTAAATAATACAATTTTGCATCCTCCTTACCGACCTACACTGGCTGCCAGGCAACTGTTATAAACACTGCCCCGATCTTCTCAAAAGGTGGTAAGACCAACAAGGTGATTCTGTAAGCGGAGAACTACCACCAAGTCAGGGAATTCCTCTCCATGAAGATCATTTAGAATTAAAGGCAAAAAGCTCATGCTAACCTCTCCCCTGTGATGAGCAGAGACCCAAGGCCCTGTCCATGATGAAGGCAGATGGTTTAATAGGAAGGCGACCTGTTCTTCCCCCAGCCCCTGCACACCACTCAGCCTGAGCTCACAGCCATGCAATAGGTGTGCTTCTCCACCGTCAGACTGAAGCACGGCTGCTTCTGGAACTCTCATTATATTAATTTCATCTATAAAGTTTGTTGAAATCATTCAAACCTCTTCTCTTCTGCCCTTCCTGTGCCTCCACAGACCCAGGTCAAGAGCTGCACGGAACCCCTGAGAAGCTTGCCTGCTCAGGAGCTCCCTTGATAGCTGGCCCTGCCTATTAGGGGTGAGTCACTTCCTCGTCCACAAAACCAACAAACAGGATTCTCCTGGGGTGGAACCCCAAGTCAGACAAGCCGAGTCCCTCCCCAGCAAACCTAGTTTATCTGTAGAAACCCCTGCCCAGCTTCTCCTGACAGCTATCTCGCCCTACCTGGAACTCTACCCAGAACAGTTTCTCAGCTTGTTTACCTCGCTGTTGTTCTCCACATATAAACATGACCCCAACAATTCCAGAAGATTCTCCTGCTAGTCAGCAAGGACACACTCTTCACAAAGACCCTGCTCTGCAGCGCCCTGCCCACACTCTTACATCGCAGTGACTCTTAGCAACTCTAAGGGCAAAGGTCCAGCCCATCAGAATCTCTGCCATGACTTGTTTGCTCCTGGCTCCCTGGTTGACCCCAGGGAAACACCCGGGGGAGCTGGCAGTGGGCAGGCAGGGGGCAGAAAGGCAGGCCATTGTGTGTCTTAAGAAGACTGGGAAATGACGATACTGCTTCCTCAGGCGACAGCCTCTGGGGGTACCCCAGGGTCCCAGCTGTCCCAGCAGCCCTTTGTCTCCCTCGCTCCCTCTGCGAAGCATAGTTCCAAAGGCTGTGGGAGGAGATAGAAGGTTCAGGAGAGGCATGAGGGCTGGAGATCCTGGCCAGCCATCCTGGAGAGCGCAAATACAAAGGGCAACGTCTTTATCGGTACCCAGGGCGCCTAGGGTGCAGAGAGCTCATTCACTCAGCGTCGACAGGGCATGCAGCCTCTAGGCCCGGTGGTGCTCATACACAGCTCTGGATTCAGGTCAGGCAGTGAGGTTGATGAGCAAGTGATTTCGCTTACACTTGTTTTCGAGATCATGACTTTAAAGACCGTCTCCCATAGCCCCGCCCTCTGCTGGGGACAGATCAGGGAACACCACCGCCAGAAAAAGCAGGAAGTGGTCATCAGCCAGTCCACGTGGAGGCTGAGCCAGCCGCTCAAACAGGGTCACTGCTGCACCTCCTTGCTGCCCCTCACCCCAGAATAAGGACGGACTGCAGTGCATAAGCTAACGAAACACAGCATTTTTCAAACTCAAGGTGATGGCTGAGATACCAAATAGTTAAAACAGCTTTTCAAAGCAGCTTTCTCCTGGGGTGGGCACAGATGGTCCATGCTGGGAGAAACCAATCCAATCCCTTTCCAGGTACTGGTATCCTCTCCATAATCATGGGGCCAAAAGACTCTCTCAGCCCTTGACTGCATACCTCCAGTGACTGGTAACCTCAGCATTCTATTTATTCATCCAATGAGTACTTACTGAATTACTGCTGTGTGATAGTATTGTTCTAAGAGCACAGCATAAGGATGTGAACAACACAGAGTCCCTGCCTTCTTGGAACTTAGAGCCTCCTGAAACTCTAGGCCAAATAATCTGCTAAAATCAAAATGCACTAAACTCTATCTACACTTTCCTTTAATCAATTAGCCCCATAATCACAGCAAAAGGAAATGAGGTGAGTTTGGCTTCAGTTGTCCTTGCGAAGGCAGTGCTGACTCCTAGAGGTCACCACTTGTCTCAGAATGTCTAAGCAGGGACGTCACTGACCCCTTGCTTACCCAGCACCTGTCGGCTTCGCGGGGCTTCTCTGTCCTCCACTCTGCCTGACTCGCATCTGACTGTCATCTCTTCCCTTCCACTTGGCTTCAGCCTCAACCAGAAAGACAACCACCTGCTCAAGAACTGATTTATTATCAGTAAATCCATACCAATCCCACCTAAGCTGTGTTGTTCCTCATTCCATCACAACAAAGTCAAGGGGGCTGGAGAGAGCACAGAGCTTCTGCCGTGAAGCTCAGTGTAAGCCTGAGCTCATCTGCACCGTGTGGTGGGAACAGATGGAATGAGCAGATCGATGGAATGGGGGCACGATCGGGACAGGGGAGAAAGGAGGACACCTATTTCTCTTTCACTTGGTCTCTGCTACCACTTCTCTGGCTGTAACCCACCTCAGAAGTGTGCTTTCCAAAAAGATTAACCTTTGAAATCTTTAAATGATGTATTTGTATCTAAAAGACTGACTTTAAAAAAAAAGAAAGAAAGAAAGACACAAAAAAATGCAACAAAGCATTCTTTCAAAATGATTCATTGTACATAAAACATTTCTAGGATCCTGCTACAGTTCTGGGGCATGGGGTTGGGTAGACAGAAAGATTTATGCGTGAATTAAACCAAAAACGACTATCGAAAGTGCTTTGAGTTTGAGTAATTTTATAAGGTCTGATTCGTTCACAGAAAACAGAGCACATCCACCCTGGCAAAACAGACTGAATTATCCGGTTTCAAAAACACACATTGAAGTTTGTAGGGAAACACTGTTTTGATGCAAGACCTATGAACGACTGATTTTGATTACTGAATTTATTTCACCCAAAACCTATTTTTCATGGTACATGTTTACTTTTTGTTTGTTTACATGAGGACATTTTTAATGGAGCCCAGCTATGGCTAGACACCAAGCCGACCTGCAAGACCAGGCCAGCTCCTTGCAGCAGGTGAGTCACACCTGTCACACCTGTAGCACGTGAGTCACACCTGTCACAAAGAGGTTGCAGGCAGTCTGTGTATACTAGCAACTCACTTTCTTTTCGCTCTTCTTTATTAACCATCTCTGTTATACCTGAAGTGAAAACAGGCCTCCCAGATACACTCTCTGCCTCAATTCGTGAATCCTAAAGTATCTCTGCAAGGTAAGGCTTAGGGACAAAAAGCTCCAAAGAGCAGGTAGTTCATTTCCAAAACATCCCTTCATCGACTAGGTACCTGAGACCAAAGCGAAGGGCTGAGGCAACCAGCAAGATGATTCAGGCAACTTCTGACCTGAATTACAGCAACATCTGCTGCAGAAGAGAAGCAGACAGGGTGCCACAAGGCGGAGGCCAGAGGTATGGGCTTTGCTACCACTTCTTTCTCAAAGTAATGATGTGGCTTTGAACAACTTAATGAACTTACTGAAAACTCAGTTTTCTTGTCTATAAGGTATAATAATACCATCTGCCTCACACATAGTCTACAAAATTTATAAAAATAAAATGGTTATTCACAAAGAGACTTTCCAAAGTAAAAATTGCAAAATAATTCCCAATATTCTTGTTTGAATTTTACCTTTTGGCCAAACCTACTACAATGACCTATTATTGATTAAGAGGACTCAATAGGTTAATGAAAATGAAATTTGTGGCTAGTTCCTTTTGGATGAGAAAGGCACAGTATATCAGTCTCTAAGCGGTACAGCAGGATTCTGTCACTGATGGGTCAACTCTTCTGTGCTTCAATGTCTGTTCAATATCTAGGCAGCATGACACTGTCACACACCATTGAGGGCTCTTTCAGGGATTTTCTAAATCAGGGGTCAGCCAACTATGGCCCATGGGACAAATCTGGTCCTCCACCTGTTTTTATAAATAAAGTTTTATTGGAATACAGCCATACACATTCATTTACAAACTGTACATGGCAGCTTTCCTGCTATCACAGGAGACTTGAGTAGTAACTTGAGTAGTAGTGGACACCATCTAGTCCTCAAAGGCTAAAATATTTACTATCTGGCCCATTACAGAAGAAGTTTGGCCAACTCCTGATATAAATCAAGCGGGATCCCTAAATCACACTCTTACTGTATATAAGAAGGCTGGCTACAGTGAATTCTCTTCTGGGCTTTTAACATCATGACAAAGTGTCATATTTCAGTATACACTACAATCGGAGGAATTTTACATTGCATTTCCAGTGTAGGATTTGGGGTAGATAGGTGTGGTTCTCTCTAAGCATAACTGTGACAACACAAAAGTCGGCTAAACATGTCTGAGGTGTAAGGTTGTCACGTCCTGACAAGCACTTATTTTGGTGCTAATCCTAACCATACCCTTCTTCCAAAACATGTTAAATTAACTGTGAAAATAAAAGGCATTCACTGTCATCAATATTTTTTTAAAGACATTAAAATATAAGTATTATGAGAACCAAATGATATTTTTAATCCAACCTTCTGATTTCACAGATAAGGAAACTGAGACCAAGTTAAATGATTTGTCTAAAAACTATGAGTGAGACAGTAGCAGATTTCAGCTCTTCCCTCAAACACATGCTCATTGTATTATTCAGTCATAAAGAGCAGATCTTTTGGTTAAAGAAACATCTGTAGAGAATAAACTATCTAGTTAACCTAATACATACTCATATAGGATCAGCCCAATAATACTATGAGGATATTAGCAGTACTCTGTGTATTAAATTAAGCGAGTAAAAACCTCACAACAATTTTGCTTCTGTCGTAACTCTAATTTTTATGTCATGAAAAATATTAACTGCAAAATGCAAGGGTTGAGCCAATTCTCTTTAATGTCCAATCTACAAATGTCTAACTTAATACAAGAACATGTGTGAAAAAGCTACAAAACTGAAGGAAAATGTAGGTCGCCGAGCTGAGAAATAAATGTGTTACTGAATACAGCTTTTACCTCCATTTGCAAAGATTCTGCCAATCCCCTGATGGCAAACTTGGACGAGGAGTAGGCCGTGAAGCCGAACAGCCCCAGCTGCCCCGCCTGGGAGGACACAAAGACGATCCTGCCCACCCGGCGCTCCTTCATGGTGGTGATCACTGCTCGGCTGGGGTACACGCTGCCCAGGTAGTTGACGCTCATCAGCCTCTGTGGGGAACAAGGGGGCCAGGTGAGGAGTGTGCAGCGTCAAAGCCTCAGGGCTGAGCCCCGCGGGAATTCTCTCTGCTCTCCAGACCTGCATTCTTCAACGGAGCCTAAGTGACTGGGAGCTCAGCAGAATTGCTGAATGAATGAATGATTAAATGATCCTGTAAATAGGCTGTGATGCTTGGAGTCTACCTTCTGAAGCCTGTTTCAAACTAGTCTTGTCTTCTCACAGTGGCAACAGCAGTTACGTTTTTGCTGAAAACTGGTCAAAATCAGTTTTCTCCTTATAAAAAGCACCCTGCATTTTGCAGGTACTACTTTTTGAAAGACAGTTTCAGGAAAGAGCTTCCAGCATTTCCAGCCCTGTGGTTCTATGCTCCGGAGGACCACAGGAGACGAGGACAGTGGCTGACAGCATGGACTATGGGTTGAAGCCTTAGCTCCACCACTTTCTCCCTGTCTGATGAAGAAAAAGAAAGTCAGACCCTCTATTTATTTCCACAGCTGAAAGAAGGGTTACTATCTGTACTTTCTCAGAGGGCTGTTGCAAGGGCTGAAAGCGGAAACACAAGTGCCAGCACACCCTCTGACCCACAGGAAGTACTCAGTGAACGGTGGCTCTCACAGCTTACACAGGCACCAAGAGTGTATTTTCCCTTCATCCCAAGAACTCTTAGAAGCCTTGCATTTTAACTTGAAAAATCTAAGAATACTTGCCTTAAAATGTTGCCTTATTAAAAGTCTTGGGAAAGTATAAGATCTGTCACCATGTGAAACCAAACACTCCGCTGGGGCACACAGAGTCAAACATGAAATGTAAACTCAACGGAATGTTAGCTGACTTAGAAATGATGGCCAGAAACACAAAGAGAACAGGGGAAAGTATTTATTCTGTAAGTTTAAAAAAGACAGAGGGAAGGCTGTATTTACAGTGTGACTATTTCAGGTATTAAATAAAACTGCACGTGCAAAGGTGCAAAACCAGTCACACATACAGAAAACTGTGATTGTGTTGGGAAGCTGGGAATTTCCATGTTTTTCCCAAAAATGCCCTTTCAGATCATTATATTGTTCTGGTAAGAAAAATGCTCTAAAAAAGTATTTTAAAAAAGATGCCACACTGAACCCAAGTGTAAACCTCAGTCAGCTCCCTGGATAGACCCCACTAAAATCTCAGTAAAAATATATATGTATATTTTTTAAGACAAAAATCCACAAGAACAAATAGGGAAAAAGGTAACAGCATAACATCTGGGAAGTTGAACATCAGAAGACGAGTGATAACTAACTTAGCAGAACGCTGAATGCTAAACAAGGAGAAGAGAAACTGAAGTGCAGAGTGTACCACGAAACCCCTAAAAGGCTCAAGGACACGTATCTCTGGGGGCAAGAGTGTGCGCATGCGGCTAAAAGGGGCAGGAGTACTGACTAAGCCTGTTTAAAAAAGCCAAATCCACAATCATAATCGGAGAGTACATCCCCCCTCTCAATAACTGACAGGGTAACTGGACACAGATCAGTGCAGATGCCGAAGACCTGAACTATGTTATTAGACCTGACCAATACTGAGAGAAAATACCACACAAGACAGACAGCAGAATATTTGCTCTTTCCAAGTGCAAGTGTAATGGCGACCAGACAGACTATATTCTGGGCCATAAAACAAGTCTCAAAAAAATGTACAAGGACTTAAGTTATACAAAGCATGTTTGTTGACCACGACATGACTGAATTGTTAATCAGTCAGAGAAAAATCCCCCAAATACTAGAAACTAAATCATACACTTTATAACGCAAGGGCCAAAGAAATGAAAAGGAGAATTTTAAAATTATTTGAACTGAATGAAAGTGAAAACACAAAGTATCAAAATTTGGGGGGTGATGTTAGAGGAAGATTTGGGTAGAAATTTATAACACTAAATATCTGTATTAGGAAAGGAAAAAAGCTTGAAATCAATGTCAGCTTCCACCTAAAAAGAAACTGTTAAAAGAGGAGCAAATTAAAACAAAAGCAAACAGAAATAAGGAAGTAATAAAAATAAGAGAGGAAATAAATGAAATAGAAAAATCATAGAAAAATCAATAAAAGCTACTGGTTATGAGATGGTCAATAAAATCGATAAACTTCTAGTCATACTGGTCAAGAAAGAGAAAGGACATATTTTATCAATATTAAGAATGAGGAAGGTAACATCACTACAAACTCTTTGGATATTAAAAGGAGAATAAGAGAATATGATGAGTAACTGTGCCAATAAACTCAATGACTTAGGTGAAGCTGACAAATTCCTTGAAAAACACAAGTTACCAAAGGTCACTCAGAAATAGATGAAAAATATAGATACAACCTATGTCTATTAAGGAAATTGAATTAAACCTAGAAAGCTTCCCACAAAGAAAACCTCAGTCTTCACTGGTGAATTCCACCAAACATTTAAGAAAGAATAATACCAATTCTATACAAATTTTTCTAGAAAACTGAAGAGGAGAGAATATTCCCCTACTCGTGCTATGAGGCCAACATGACCTCTATACAAAAACCAGTAAATAACATTATAAGAAAACAAATATCCCTCAAGAACACAGAAAACATATTAAATCATAACAAAGTGGGGCTTATCCCAGGAAGGCAAGGTTGGTTTAACATTTGGAAATTAATTAATGTAATTCACCATATTAATAAACAAAAAAGAAGAAGTCTATGATCATCCCAACAGATGCAGAAAAAGCATCTGACAAAATCAATATCATTTCTTATAAAAACTCAGCAAACTAGGACTAGAACTCAACTTTATAAAGTCATCTACCAAAAAAACAAAGACAAAACTATAGCTGATATCACAGTTAATAGTAAAAGATTGAATGCCTTCTTCCTAAGATAAGGAATAAGACAAGAATGTCTATTCTCACTGCTTTTATTCAACACTATACTGGAAATTCTAGCCAGTGTAATAAGCATATACAGAAGAAGTGAAGCTGTTACAGATGACATGATCTTGGATGCAGAAAACCCAGGGAGCACTATAATTAAATTTAACAAGACTGGAAGATCAATACATAGAAATCAATTCTATTTCTCTATATTAACAATAAACACTCAGAAACTGCAATGAAAAACAGTACCATTTACAATTGTATCAAAAACATGAAATACTAAAATGCCATGTGCAAGACCCATGCACTAAAAACTACAAGTCACTGCTAAGAGAAATTAAAGAAAACCTAAGAAATGGAGATAAATACTATGCTCATGGGTTAGAAGACTCAATATTGTTAGATGTCCATTCTTGCCAAATATCTATAGAGAATGTGAGCTCAGTCAAACACAAAAATAACTATCCTGAAGTACATAAAACAAGATACAACTCCAATAAAGATAGAACCATTAAAAAGGAAAATCAAGGGACGTGTGCTGGCATTCCCCAAGAGCACCCCCAGTTTTGGTGATGCATTGGAAGGCTTCACAGGACTCTGTACATAGTTGTACATATGACTAAGATTTATTACAGTGAAAGACACAAAGCGGAATCAGCAGGGGCCAAAGGCACCTGGGTCAAAGCTCAGAGGAAATCATGTGCAAGTTTCCAAGAGTCCCCTCCCTGGGGAGTCACACAGGGCGTGCTCAAATCTCCCAGCAATGAGTTGTGACAACACATGCAGGTATTGTGTCCAGGCAATGTGAACCTTAGCAAAATTGAAGCAAATCAAAACAATGCAATCAAACAAAACAACATAAGTAACGGAATTCATTTTAAGTAAAAATGAACTCGTATCTTGCGAAAAGGTATCCCATGCGGCACTGGGTGTTCTGAGCAGCTCTCTGATGAAGAGGCTGTACCGGGCCGCCCACAACCGAAGCTCCAAGCACATCCAGACAGCACCATCTCTTGCCTTGACACCCTGATGGCTCCCAAGTCTCCCTGACAGCAGCCAGAGAGAGCCTTTCAAAGCCAAGTGCAGATCACACTACTGCCTCACTTAGCTTAACCCCCTTCAAAGGTTGGGGACTAAAATCCAAACCCTCAAGGCGGCCTTCAAGGCCCCAGCAGATCTGGGCCCTTCCTTGAGTTTGCGAAGCTCTTCCCACCCTGGGGCCCTACCAGCTGATGCTCTCCCACCTGGAATCTCTTCTCTGGTCTCTTTGCACCCATCTTCAGGTCTCACAGCCCCGAGGCTGGGTCTCCCAAGCCGCCTCCGGGAGCCTCTGCCCCTCGCCCCTTTTCCTTCCCCGCAGCCCCTAACCAGGCTGAAGCTATGCACTTATCTGCCTGCTCCTGCGGGGCCCGTCTCCCTGCCCTGAGCCAAGACTTTATTTTCTCGCTCACCTTGGTAACCCCAAGACCCAGAATAATACTTAACAAGCCAGAGGCTTTCTCAAGTTGTTTGTGAATGAACATTTACCAGCCTCGGCCCGGGCAACGCACATGTGCACATTGTGACCCCCAGCCCGCGCAGGCCATGCAGGCAGAGTGGACGGGTGGAGGCTGAGGCTCCAGGCCAGAAACATGATTAGCCTGAGACCCCACAGCGAGTAAACAGACTCAAAGCCACTAAAGCTAAGATTTAAAACTGGTTTAGTCTGATGCCTGATTCCACCTCTTTTTCTCCCGGTCCGTGCTGCTGAGGAGCAGAGGAACTGTAGTCCCTGTGGGTGACCCCAGGTGTGGGAAAGAAAGGAATTGTGGGTTGTTATTTTTTAAAACCAGAGAGAGCAGGAAGGAAATCGTGTGAATGGGAGACCAAAGTTGAGAGTAAAGTGAGTTTGCAAAAAGGTTAGAACTGGCAATTTTATATTTCAACATGCTTCATATTCTACATGCATTTGTTACTTCTCCCTTCATCTCACCTGCTTCACATCTCCATGGCGTGGACACCCACACAACACACTCACCTGGTATTATATACTTTGCTGGGTCTATTCCTGCTCACAGTTCTGTGCCTCCACAAAACAGTCCCTCGATTACCTTTGCACATCCCTACCTCTGCCCCCCACCCAACTCCCCCCACCAAACAGAACTGCCCAGCTTCCCAAAGTCCTGGCTTTACAACCATGGATTTTTTATTACAACCATGCCACTACTTACACCTCGATCCTCTCTTTGCCCTCGACCTTCAGCCCGGGGGAGTCTGCTCATGCTCCCCCCATTATCATCCTTCACATGCCCACACACAATACACACACACTCACACACACACCCCTACTTCTCTTTGCTGGCCATCTCTGGCGTCTCCTTCCTCACCATTTCATGCGCAGACCACCACTACAACTATTTCCCCCAACCGATTCTTACACAGCTGTTGAAATACTTTTCAAAATCTCCCTTTGGTTACTAACAGATAAAGGTATTCAGGTCCAAACAACTATCTTTTATGCGTAAGTGATAAAGGAGCGGTAAAACACTCGAGTCCCAGGTCTCGGGGGTCTCGGGGGTGGGTTCACATCTGTCACCACTCTGCCTCCATCTACATCTGAACTCTCCAGACTTGACTCTGAATCACAGTTTATGGTGTTTTCCCACAGTGCACCTGAAGCCAGCCATCTGCTCCTGCCCCAGCAGTCTGCTTTTCTGTAAAAGGGGAATGTCACTTAACTTCGCAGAGTAAAGCACTCAAACCCACCACTATGAAGGCTCAGCATAGTAACAAAACATCAGGAAAAAGATGGCTGATACGACGTCAACTAAAAACATGTTTTGCACCTAAGGATTTCAAATCTGATGTCCATTTATTTAGAGCTAAAATAAATTTACTAAGAGAGGTTCTAGGTCAAACCAGTTTAAAAATACAAACCAAAATAATGCTTTATTTTTTTATCTTGATTTGAAAAATCTACCCATCTTTTAGCTTACAAAGAAGTCTCTTACCATATGGCCTCAGTGAATTGTCACAGGAATCCGAGTTGCACCGGAGGTTTCATTCCCATTTACGGCTGGGGAAGAAACCAAGGTCTATAGAGATTTGTTTAGCCTCAAGGTCATGGCACTGGCACCAAAACCTTCCTCTAGCTGTCTAAAGTTGCTATTAAATCTGAATGCATTTCACCTGTAAAGCTTTCACCTTCATGGCTTTGTTCTGCTTTTAGAATATGCGCAACCTCAATGAGCAAAAATCAAATATTTACTTACTTCGAAAGTGCTAACTTCAAGATCTTCAAATTTTCCTGCAAGTGACATTCCCGCACAGTTTACAAGCATGTCCACTGGGCCCAGTTTCTCCTGTGCCTGGGAAGTTCGTCAGGGCAAGCATTATAAAAGGGAAAAGAGGACTCACTTAGTAGCAAATCAGTGCCATTAAATAAAATCCATGTAACTATTAAACCTACAGGGAAGATTTACCACTTCCAAGTCACATACTGAAATGACAAGAACCACAGAAAGGTGAGCAAATTATTTCCAATCAGCCCAACTTCTTACTTGTTTCATGACATTCTCTACTTGGTTATAGTCTTGAGCTACGTCAACTGATATACAAAGCACCACCTGGAGAAAAAGAAAAAAGTCATCAAAGCTATGCAGTGTCTAAAAGTGTTTTTAAAGAAATTTTTTTCAGTTAAAGGCAATTCTTTCCGATAGGGAGTACAATTTTGGATATACAATTACAGCATTTGAAACCTGCTAATAATGTGATTTGTAGAACCGAATTTTCTGGGCAGCTTTCATAGAAAATCATTTTGAACAAACTCAAAAGCATGTTTCAAGAAATATTGTCAAAGAAAACTTGCAGGTATAAGATGAGTTAAGTTCTAGGGATCTAATGTACAGCACAGTGACTAATATTGTAGGTATATTTAAGATTTACGAAGAGAACTTACGTGTTCTCAACACACTCACACAAAAAAGATAACTGTGAGGTGATGGGGGTGTTGATCACCTTGACTGTGGTAATCATTTCACAATGTAAAGATACATTAAATCAGTGTTATTCACTGAAACACATAGAATTTTTGTCAATTATACGTCAATAAAGCTGGAAATACAAAAAATGTAAACATGCTGCTCTTGAAATGCCATTAATCTAGTGACAGACAGGTCTGAGATCACCGGCAGCCAGCAGCAGAGGGAGGAATGGACGGCAGAGGGTCAGAGGCAGACTCTGGGGTAATGGGAATGTTCTGTAACTGAGTCTCGGGGGTGGGTTCACACGTGTATTCATCTGTCAAAAGCCATCAAGCTGTACTCTTCAAATGGGTGTGGTTTATTACACATGAATTGTATCCCAAGTCATTAAAAAGAATACATAAATCACATAAAGAATACATAAATTATATCTCAGTTGTTAATATCTTTAATTGTTAAAAAGAGAACACTAAACCTAATTAATATGTTTAAAAAATACTCCCCTTGGAGCAATATCAGAGCCATGACTGCCATATTGGGATTCAGGATCAGTAGACGGAATGAAGAGACAAGCAAACAATATCTACTCCCGGAAGCCCTAGTTCAGGCTCCTGCTCAGAGGCTGAGCCAGGTGACATTATCTTACAAGACCAAGGGTCAATCTGGGCCTGTGCTGAGTTGGGAGTCTGGTAACATCTGGTTTACTCTGACGCCTGCTTGAGATCCCTGACTCTGGACTGACTGGCCACTCACAGACACACTAGGCAAAGGGTCACGAAGCCGAGTCTCAGAGCCCACCCAGGACAGGCATACCCAGAGATAGTGTAGGTTCAGTTCTAGGCCACCGCAAAAAAGCAAATACCACAATAAAGCAACTCAACTGAATTTTTTGGTGCATATAAATGCTATGCTTACACTACACTGTAGTCTATTAAGTTTGCGATAGCATTATGTCAAAAAACCACAATGTACGTACCTTATTTAAAAAACACCTTATTGCTAAAAAATGCTACCCATCATGTGAGCTTTCAGCAAGTCCTAATCTTTCTGCTGGGGGAGGGTCTTGCCTTGCTGTTGATGGCTGCTGACTGACCTAGCGGTGGTTGCTGAAGGTTGGGGTGGCTGTGGCAATATCTTAAAATAAGACAACACTGAAGTTTCCCACATTGATTGACTCTTCCTTTCACAAATGACTTCTCAGTGGCATGTGGTCCTATTTGATGCCATTTTACCCATGGTAGAACTTCTTTCAAAACTGGAGGCAATCCTCTCAAACCCTGCTGCTGCCTTATCAACTAAGTGTACATAATATATGATAAATCCTTTGTTGTCATTTTGATAATCTTCACTGCATCTTCCCCAGGAGTAAATTCCATCTCAAGAAACCACTATCTTTGCTCATCCATAGGAACCCACTCCTCATCCATTCAAGTTTTATCATGAGATTACAGAAATTCAGTCACATCTTCAGGCTCTACTTCTAATTCTTGCTGTTTCTACCACATCTTCAGTTATTACTTCCTCCACTGAAGTCTTGAACACCTCAAAGTCGTCCATGAGGGCTGGAATCAACTTCTTCCAAACTCCTGTTAATGCTGGTATTTTGACCTCTTCCTATGGATCATGAATGTTCCTTAATGGCATCTAGGATGGTGAATCCTTTCCAAAAGGTTTTCAATATACTCTGTCTAGATCCATCAGAGGAATGATTATCTATGGCACTGAAGCCTTACAAAATGCACACCTTCAATAAGAAGACTTGAAAGTTGAAATTACTAGATACAGGGGCTGCAAGCAGATGTGTAGCAGGCATGAAAACAACATTAATCTGTACGTTTCCATCACAGCTCTTGGGTGACCAGGTGCTTGTCAATGAAGAGAAATCTTTTGGAAGGAATCTGTTTTTCTGAGCAGTAGGTCTCAACAGTGGGCTTAAAATATTTAGTAAACAACGTTGTAAGCAAATGTGCTGTCTGCTTTGTTGTTCCATTTCAAGAGCACAGGCAGAGTAGATTTAGCATAATTTCTAACAGTCCTAGGATTTCTGGAATGTAAATGAGCATTGGCTTCAACAAAGTCACCAGCTGCAGTAGCCCCTAACCGAAGAGTCAGCCCGTCCTTGGAAGCTTTGAAGCCAGGCACTGACTTCTCTCTAGCTATGAAAGTCTTAGATGGCATCTTCTTCCACTGTAAGACTGTTACATCTACACTGGAAATCTGTTGTTTAGTGCAGCCACCCTCATTAATTATCTTAACTTGACCTTCTGGATGACTTAGGGTACCTTCTGCATTAGCACTTGCTGTTCACCTTGCACTTTCTTGTTTCAGAGACGGCCTCTTGACTTAAACTTCATGAACCAACCTCTGCTGGCTTCAGACTTTTCTTCAGCAGCTTCCACAGCTCTCTCAGCCTTCACAGAATTGAAAAGAGTTAGGATCTTGCTCTGGACCCGGCTTTGGCTTAAAGGAATGTTGTGGCTGGTCTGACCCTCTACCCAGCCCTCGGGATCTGAGGCACTGGGCAGGAGGGCTCCTTCATGCAGGAAGCAACCCCATCCAAATGATCGAATTCCTAAGAAAAGGAAATAGCCTCCTTTGCAAATATAACCTGGAATATTCCAGATTGGAGGGGATGTCCTAGGATTTTATATTATATTATCACAGAAAACATCTTTTTTTAAAGGGAGTAGGAAGCATAGGATTAATTTTTAAGCACACCTTTTTAAAATATCAGATCATGTTCTGTAAATAAAATCTGTATCACAGACATATGAAATTTAAAAAAAAGAATTAACAAACGACCAGGAAAAAAAAAAATGCCCACAGGACCCTGCTTGCTAAATTGTCCAACAGGCCCATTCTGGGTCCAGCAGAAGAATCAAACTCCCCAGACCTGATTATTTTCCCCTCCCTCAATGTGGTAGTCATGAACTTCCCACATGACCTAAAGCCTTCTGATAGATGAAGACGGGACAAAGGTATTGAAGAAGTCCAAGGCGGAGAGATGGTGCTGGCAGCAGAGAAAAATGTGAATTATTTCTCCAACGAAGAGGTTGAAGAAAATAAGAATGATGCCGTCAAGTTCAAAAAGAAGTGGAAGTAAGCAATGTGCTATTTAGGGTCATACAGATGCATAGTCAAATTACAAAGACGAGCAAAGGAAGGAGCCACACAGAAATCAGGTTGGGGGGCTGCCTGGTGGGATGAGACAAGAGGAGGAAGCGGAAGAGGGTTCACAGTGGGGGCTTCCAGGGCCCTGGGTGGGCGTGTATGCTGAGTCATGCGTTATGTTTTATACTGAAATATAATTTTATATATATACACACACCATTTTCTTCATCAAACAATTCCATTACCAAAAAATATTTTTAATAACTCTTTCCCCTTAAGGATTTGTATAGTTAAATAAATAACTGAAATGGAATAATTTTCTAGTAAAACATCGTTCTTTGATCATTTGTGTGTATACATATGTTAGTCTTTTTTTTTTTTTTGGTAATAACCTGAACTCCTAGACAATTAAAACAATTTCACCAGTTTAAAAACAGTTTAATATGCATTTTGATGCCTTCCAAGAACTATTCATAGTGAAAGTAACCCTTGTGAAACTGGGTTGATTAGTACAGAAAATGCATCTTGAAGACAGCAGTTTTACCTGTTTATCATTAATAGAATGCTTTTCAATTTCCTTCTTTGCCTGCAGCAGCTTGTCCTGAAAGCAACAGAGAACAATTAGTCCTGGTGATTGTCTGCTTGTTTGTTTAAAATCCAGAGAAGCAGCAATTCTTTGTGGAAGTACTTACTAAATTCTAAAGAACACACACCACCTACACGGCAGAGCTACAGGCCATTGTCGACAAAAGAAAGAAGCTAAAAAGTAAGTTATGACTAAGTGAAGCACATTTTTTAATTGATTGCATAGAAAGGTCATGGAAAAAGAAAAGCCCAATTACCAGTATTAATTGCTGACAGTCACCCTATAATTTCTGATAACTGTTCTGATCTAACATTATGTAGTTGTGATGTAAAATAAGAACCATATGGGTATGAGATGCATCCCGACCTTAAAGATACGTATGATTCCATGTCAAAGAAGGCTTTTGTAAGCGATCGTCCAATATTTTCATCCTCTACTATAAAAACAAATATGGTAAAAACCACTTCTTAGATAGACTGGGTAAATCCATGTCTGGCTATTTCCAAAAATAATCTTAAGATACTCAAAGCTACCCATGTAACTGAGTAGCTCTTCCAAGGTCTCAATTTTGCCTATTTTACTCATTTTCTGAGAAGACAGGTATCAGTTTACAGTATCTTAAGTTGCTATAAAACTTATAATAAATACATCATGACAGCTAGAGAAGAACAAGAGAGGAGAAGTCCTTTGGGACGACACAAAGGTTTTCTAAACACAAATTTGTGTCCATAATAAAATAACATTGTTCATTGTTCTATTCAAAAAGACATATGCAATTTGGCTTTGCAAAGTCGGAATAAAAAAATTAAATTAGAAAATAAGGAATTTTTTGATGCCAAAGGCTTGTCTGCTTATTCATCTCCAGCAATAAAAAGACCACAGAATGAGCTTCTGAGCACCTGAAACGGGGAGACCCCCTCCCCTGCCTCCCTGTTCATCTATCTTGTGTCAAACATTGGCATTGCTTCAGTCTCACAAAATGCCATTTTATTATAGTTCTGTTTTCCTTTCTATAAGGTGGCTTCAATGATGAAGCAAATTCATTGTCAGAGAAATCAGGGTATAAATAAAAGGTAGCTAATTCTGAGTTGCTTGATTTTAAAAAAAGCTATGGACATCCAAGCCTAACTGTGTCACTATTTAAACATCTGCCCCAGAGGCCCTCCGGGGCCTGCCTTTCCCACTGGCAGCTGTGCACCCCTACCCGGGCAGTCCCCACTCCAGTGCTCTCTTTTGGCAGAGTTGAGTCCAAAATCCCCAAAACGCCACTGCGCTGCATCCCCATTCCCTCCATCAGCCCTCCCTTCATTGCTTCATTCAACAAATAGATTTTGAGCGCCCGCTATGAGTCAAGCATCACCCTGGCACAGAACAGCTGTGACACTCCAGCCACGGTCATGTCCCGGAACCTCCACGGAGCTAGAGGACCTGCAACTGTGTGAATAGTGCCACCGGTTTAGGCCATGGAAACAGCTTTGGAGAAATAACAGACCTGTGGGGAAAAAACGGGCTTGTGCCAACCTGACACAGAAAAACACCTGTTTCGCTAAACTGCTGGGGAGGAGTGAGATTCCACTGAAGGGTCTGGGTTTAACTAGAGATGAATATCATATCACAGGCAAATTCTAGAGAAATACCTACACATCCCTCAGAACTCAGACTCCAAGATTGCCTCTGCTGTCACCTTTGAGCGGGTGGCTTCTGACGGGCACATGTGCTACTTAAGCATGTCTTAGCCTCTCCCTTCTCAAGATCTGCAGCATCTCTGATGCCGTGTAATAGCTGCTGGCACTACATAAATATCTGTGGAGCTGACCTGCCTTCAACCAAGAAGTCTTTGCCCTGAGTAAGAGAAATAACCGGGTGTTCAAGAATCCTTCTTCAGACCAGGGATGTAAGCAAGCCCCAACATAGATGCGAACTCTACAGAACGTTTGTACAGCCTCTTTGACTAATGTAAAGTTGAATAAGTAAGTTGGTAATATCATACCTGGAAGACTTACCTCATTTCGTGCAACCAGAGTTATAAACGCTCCTTGTTTATAGCACTCGATAGCGATACACTTCCCAATGCCACTGGAGCCTCCCGTAACCTGACAGCAAAAATAATAACATCTGCTCAGCACTTGCAATTTCCCTTCTGTGAAATTGATTTTAAAAAAACGATGATGGGCTCTAAAACCAATCTAAAAGAACTAGAGTTTTAGCTATTGTAGTTTCTTCATCCCAGATGTAATGAAGTGCAAATATGAAAGATTACACTGTCAGCAGGGCCGGCTGCTTTGATTGTTCTCAAGACCAAACTGTAATATTTTTCTGAGTTCACTGGCAGGAAAGTGTCCTATAAGTCTAGCTAATAAATAATACATTAGTCCACCTCTGAGTCTAAATCCAACTGAATTTTATCTCCTTACTGCATACCTCCACTGCATGACTAGCTCTTTAACAATGAAAACAAATAGCCAGCTACATGTAAAAACATTTTAAATGCTTGCTAATTACAGTAATATGTGACCGAATAAAATTACTGAAAAGTAAAGCTCTTCTTTCTGCATTATCCTGTTCCTCATCAGCTGTAGCTCAGCCATATTGGCTTTTAGTTCCATGCTCCCTCCACCCTCCAAGCACAGGCCCTTTGCACATTCCACTCCCTCTAGCAACAATGCTCTCTCTTCCCCTTTTCATCTAGCTGGCACCTTACTCGCCCATTAAATCTCAGCTCCACCATCACCTCTTCATGAAAGCCTTCACTAACTGTCCCTTCCCTCACCTCAACCCACTTTGAAGAACTGCATCCTTTCTGCCTTTACATTATGGCACTCACTAATCAGACAGCCATGCATTTATTTGTGGGGTTATGTGATTCACAACCATCTCTCCAATCACTGCTCCATAAACTCCATAAAAATGCCAACTCTATTTTTGCTCTCCCCTATATTGCTAGTTCCTAGCACAGTGCCTGGCTTATAGGAAGGACTCAGTGAATATTTAGCTAATAAGACAAATGCAACATTATCTTGCTATAGTCATTTTCCCTATGCAAATGATGTAATATGGGGCAAGGGAGTGGGGGCCTGGGGGTTGTCAGGTGACCAGGGTGGAAAAGAGAGAGACATCTGTCCTAACATGGTGTTGTATCCTACCTTTAAAAAAATTATATCAACATGTCTTATGTCAGAAAACTAAAAAGCCTCACAATAATATATTAAATAGCTGTATAAATCTTAGTTGACAACTTCCCTGTATCAGACATTTAGGCTATTTCAAATATTTTACTGTTGGATATAATTCATGCTGAAATTAACATATTTGACCCCATCTCATGACTTTAAATCAACCCCTCCTACACAGGGCCCACTCTCTATGGACTCTTAGCCCCTATTTCTCATTAGCCTCAACTTCCCACCATGGAGGAGCTTTCTTTGGTAATTAACTAATTATCTACATTGATTTTACCATAAAAATATACCTGTTGCCCCAGCTAACAGTTGTCCCCAAGAAACTCTTTGCCATTGAGATGTGCCATGAGTTGTTTGGTTTAATTTTCCCCAGACATTCCAATTCCATAGCAATTAGCAGGACCTCTAAAAATGTCCCAAATGTTTTATGACGTTGTTTCTGCTGCCTACATGTACCTCCATCCAACACCCCTCCACAAAGCTACACCTCCAAATCCTACTTACCCTGAAAAGGCCAGTTCCAATGACCCTCCTCCAAGAAGCTTTTCCCTATCCTTTACCTGTTACTTTCTCATGTCTACTTATCACATGTCTCAGCTCCCTGGCCAGACGGTATGTTCTTTGAGGATGGGCACCGAGTCCCATTTACCTCCCTCGCTCAGAGGACAGCACCCTGCATAAGCAGTTACTAAGTAAACACTGGCCTACATTAATCTGCAAAATGATATATGGTACCCATTTGTCTGAAAAGTACAATGCAAAAATCCTGTAAAATTTTCCTATTTGTTATTCAATGAATTAACAGAAGTTGAAGTTATGAGGTTATTGAGAAAATGTATATACTCTAAAGTCTTATGTAGATTTAGCTGTTATGACCACTGTCCTTTTTCTAGACTGTAATAGGTAAGCTAGCTGTGTAAATTTACTGCCCAGCAAAAGAACTGTGCAACCTGATCACTTAATAGGATTTGTCTACAAGAACACAAGTACACAAGTGACCCTTGCACTTTTGGATCATGGTTCATGGGAAACTAACCTTATAGTCAAACCAGCTATATTTAGGCTATGTTTATTCCAAATATTATAAGAAAATGTAAAAGACTTTCATAATATCTGAGAAATGGTAAATATGGGTTACATTGCCTGACAATGGGTAAGTTGAGCCCAGATGTGGGACACTGAATGAACAGTTTAATTTCCCTTCTTTATCACTCCCTCTTACTATTCATTGCAAATATTGCATAAATGCTACTATCTCTTTAATCATATCATAAACACCTCTTACTGAGGGGAAGCAAGGGAGGGGGTGGTTTGCCGCAAGGACAGCTGCTCCCAGCCATCTCCAAAACAAGGGAGGACTTGATTTTCCAGTTCTCACCAACTCAGTTAAGCAGCTTTTTAAAAGTAAGTATAGACCATGTAGACTTCTGCAGTTTTACCACTGCAATAGGGAGCTATCACTAGTACAGAAGAATTGTTCTAAAAATGAAACAATAGCTATGACCTAAGTCTCTTCATGATGCCACATAAGCAGAAACTCTCCCATCAGCTCCTCCCCCAGCCCCTCTGAGGACAAACACATCTCAAGAAAAAGAACTGTGACATGAGACAAGAAGACAGATGGTGACATCACGTGAATTATTCGTGTCATCCTCACATTATTTATAGTGGCATATTAAAACAGGATGGTGAGAATAAATTCTTCTTGGTCTATCGGAACACGCTTGTTCGTTATCTTGTTGATGGAGTGCAGCAGGATGGGGTTGGACCAACTAGCGACAAGGTTAAGTGAAACTCCCATATAAATATGGAATGAAAATTTTCATTACTGCTTTGGTTTTACGTTTTAACAAATTATGCTCTGCAAACCTAAGTTGTGAAAGAATCCAACTTTTAAAGCCACGCTTCTGAGACAGCAGTTCCTCTGTAGATGTGACTCTTTCAGAATGCTGCGTGACTGCAAAGTTTTGCCTCTCTCTCCCTTCCTTTTTTTAATGAATTTACACTTAACTCCTCATCCGTCTCCCACATCAGGTATAGCAGGCATTGGAAATATACTGATAGTTTTACAAAGGAGAAGTTAAAGAAAGTAACATTTCCTCATTCACAAAGCTTTGTCCAGATTTCCAGCGCACTAAATAAATGACCATCCTGGCCTGTAACAGCTCAGGGGGTTGGCTGGCATCTCAGCGGAGGTGGCATGGTCACCTCCCGCATCAGGACGAAGGTTTGTCCTGCAAGCTTAGAAACTAACTCTTCCTACTCAGGCCTTCCCGCCTCGGCGTGCCTTGGGGGTTGTGCGACCCAAATAAGAAAACGGGTAAGACAGCCATTGCAACTGATGGAGCGCTGGACGCAGGTAAGGAAGCCTTCTCTGTTTCAGAAAGGTGCCAGACCTGCAGAAAAAGGATCGTGGAAGACACGAGCTTCCGGAAGGAAACAACCAAACCCTTCCACATCCCCTTCATCCTTAAAGCGCTAGCAGGTCGTTTAGCTCATCCTAGTGACTCTGAAATGATGGCAGACGACTGCGCTGCAACAGCACTAGGTCAACCCAAGCTGAGCTCAGAGAGATGAGCAGGGCGCACCGAGCAGGGCGTCCCAACACCGCTCGCCAGGACGCAGCCCCGGGTTCAGGACAATTTCCTACCCAGGTGAGTCACTTCCTGGATTCCTTTGGCAACTGCTCTGTCACTCGCCAGGCCACCTTACAGTTCCGAGCTGCCCCGACGGTCCTGGAGGCGGTGGGGCCCCCTTCCCTGCCGCCCGCCCCCTCGAGACCCGGCCGGGACCGCACCCCGCATCCCGCGCAGCCACGGACCGCGGTGTCCTTGGCAAAGTTTCTCGGCCCCTCTGTTCCTCGGTTGACTCATCGGGAAAACTGAGGACAAAAATATCCACATCCCAGGGATGCCCCGGGGATTAACGGGAGGCTCCCGAGCCCCTGGAGCCCCAGGACCCGGCTCGCTGGCGCTGTCCCCAGCCGCGCAGGGAGGAGCCCGACGCAGCGGAGGGCGGGTCCCCGCTGCCCTCGCAGGGGCAGTACCGGGGGGCCGGCGGCAGGTGACCCTCCTTTTGGAGACTAGGTCGGCGGCGGCCTGGCCTCGATCGCGGGCCGGGACGCCACTGTGGGGGACTCGGGGGGCTCGGGGCGGCGGAGCGGGCCCGTCGGCGGCGACGGCGCAGCAACGAGAGGCCACTCACCACCACATGCGCCCCGGGCAGGGCGAGGGGCTTGGGGCTGATGAGCGGAGACACCATGTAGAGCAGCAGCACGAACGCCACGAGGAAGGCGGCCGCCAGCAGCAGCATCGCGCGGCGGGGCCGGGCAGGGCTGGGGGCGCAGGCACAGGGCGCACGGCTGGCGGCGCCCGGCGATCACGCGCGGCCGCGCGCAGCAGGCGCGGAGCTGGCGGGCGGCGGGGCGGGGCGGCGGCCGAGGGGAAGAGGAGGAGCCGGATGAGGGCGCGACCGCAGGGGGCGGGGCTTCCAGGGGCGGGGAGGCCCCGGGCCCGCAGTGGCTGGGAGTCCGGGGTC